AAAGAAAGAAAGAAAGAAAGAAAGAAAGAAAGAAAGAAAGAAAGAAAAAAGGATGCTGGAGAGGGGCTGGAGAAATGGTTCTAAGATTAAGAGCTCTTGCTGTTCCTGCAGAAGAACAGAGTTCAGTTCCCAGCACCCATAAAGCACCTACCTCACAACCTTCTTTGCAGACCAGGGTGGCCTTGAACTCTGAGATCCACCTGCTCCTGTCTCTGCCTTCCAAATGCTGGGGTTAAAGGTATGTGCCACCACACCAGGCCGAAAAGACTTAGTTTTATGTGTATGAGTGTTTTGTCTGTATACACATAAGTGTTCCACATGCTTGCTGCCCACAGAAGTAAGAAAGCAGCATTGCCACTAGGGTGCTGCAAATCAAACTCCAGGTCTTTGTGAGGGTGATGAGCACTCTAAAATTTCTCAGCAAACACTTTTTTTTTTTTTTTTTTTTTTTGGCAAAGAGCTCTGAGTAAGCAAGTTTGGGAACTAAGATCCTGATTTGTACCAGAGTTCTGAAGGCAGTTTCCAGGCACTTCTACAATCTAACAGCTTCCTTCACATCATCTTCTGATTTCCTGTGCGCCCTCTGTTCGTATTTTTCCAGCGTCTTTATGTATAAAGATAGCAGTTGGGAAAAGAATACTGGCTGGTGAGTCAGAGCCCTGGGTTCTATCCCGGGTTCTGTCATCTGTAAAATCTAATCCCCCAGCTTCCTCTGACGATGACAAAGAAGTCACGAGGACCACAAATATTCTAAGTCACCTCAGCGCCTGTGATTCTATCCCTGTTCACCTGTGCAGTGTTCCTTAGGTCTGAAGCTAAGTGCCCCATTAGGAGATGGCTGCAAAGTTCAGCAGTGGAGTGAACACATGCCGCTAACGGGCACTGGGCCATCTTCTAGAACGAAACAGTTCTCAATCCACTGATAAGGGGAACCTAGCACGAACCCCTGGATTCAACCTTTCGTCATTCAGCCCAGGATCTGCACCTCACGGTGGTTGCCGGGGGGAGGGGGAGATCGTGTCACACCTTGTCCTCATGTTCCCGTTTTTTACGTGGCTTGGTGCCTCCTTGCCTCTCCTCTGACTCCCTGGTCCACCCTTCAATGGTTGCACACTTCCTTCCCGCCTTTTCGATCCCCTTCTCACATAGATGGGTACAAAACACTGGGAATCAAGTTGGCCGAATTCCAATTCCCCTCTCAGAATCATCTCAGGTTTGGCAAACACCATACATAGTTCTTGGGCCTTCGCGTTCTCAGCTTTAGACGGTGGTTTTAGCGCGCACGAAGGCAAGCCCGGAATACACTGGTTCCTCACAAAGGACCCACGAGGGTGATGGATAGTCCAGCACCTCCATACCTCGGGCCTGACGCCCTTCCCACAATCCCAAAGAAAGCGGGATTTACAATTGTCTAGGCATTCACGGCCTTTTTTCCTGCACCTCAGAAAACGCCAGATCCCGCCGCCCAAACTTTGAGGTCTCCTCACAATGCCCTCTTCTCGGAAAAGTGTCTTTCTGTCACTTCCCTGCATCACCTCGCAGACAGCCAAGGCCATTCTCTCCATTCTGTAAGGAGAGCGGCCACAGCGCTCAGGGTTGCTGGCTGCTCAAAACCTCTTCCTCAGCTTCCTTCGACCGGCGTGAGCGCCCGTCCAGGCGGCCGCCAGCCGATTCCTTCCCGCCCTACAGCGCGATCGCCCCGCCCCCAGCCCTCGCGCCTGCGCAGTGGACTAGCTGCCTGAGGTCGCCCGCACCAGTAGGCGGCTGGGTGGGAGGACAGGTGGCCCAGCTCCCAAGGTTGGAGGCGAGCCGGGAAGAGGCCGGGCGATGACTCCTCCTGAGGAGATTTTCCCACGGTCTCGCCAAGACGCGGCCCTCGGCCCTTTTCAAAACGCTTTGACCGCCGGCGGCGTTTTCCAGGGCCGGTCCCTGGAAAGCTGCGGCTGCGTGGTGCAGGATTCCCAAGCTGGTTCTAGACCACAGCCGGCTTCGCCTTCTGTTCTGAGGGCGGTGCCTGGGACCAGACTCTGCTCCCACATCTAACAGAGGGATATATGGGTGGCTAATTAAGTCTGAATTTTAGGTGAACGATCTTTTTACCCCATATTGTGTATGTCATGCCATAAAATTTGGGATATATACTAAGGAAATTATTTTGAAATTCAGAGCTGAGAGCTGGGGGGCTTGTATCCGGCAACCTGTCTCCAAACCTCTCCTCAGTCTATTCTAGGAAGATTCTGGGAACTTCCCCCTCCCCACCGACCCTTCCATCCCCAAGTTTGACTTCAGAAAACGTCTGGCTGACAAGCAGCTCTGAGTGTCCCCAGCTGGAAGGAAGTCCTATAGGCTGCAGAGCGGGCTTCATGAGATGGACGTAGGCTCACAGCTCCCGAGAATCTGACAGATTGTTCTTTGGGCTGCCAAAAGAAGACACTGGCATGAGAGATTCTTGCCTGGCAACGAGTTACCCAAGGAGAAGGGTGGAACAGGGCGTTGGCCGCTTTCCTTCGGAGGAAATTCTTCCACTCCAGAAGCGGGGATTGCACAGAACAGGCTGTGGAGTTGGCAGAGTGCCCACCCAGTACCAGCCTTGGTGCCACTTCAAAGACCATGTCCCTTAGGACCTGAACCATACCCCTTTGCCGTGTTCTAGGGCTCTTGCCTGCCTTCCCTATCTCGGGTGCTCACAGCGAGGCAAACTGGAGAGGTGGTTTTTATTTTTTGGTTTTTCGAGACAGGGTTTCTCCGTTTAACAGCCCTGACTGTCCTGGAACTAGCTCTTGTAGACCAGGCTGGTCTCGAACTCACAGAGATCTGATTGCCTCTGCCTTCCAAGTGCTGGGATTACAGGTGTGCACCACTACCGCCCGGCTGGAGTATTCATTTTAATCATCAGAATTAATAAAAAGCTGACATTTGGGAAGCCACTGGAGTCTTTTCCTCCTTTTTACATCTCTTTTAGAATATTTCTCACTGAAAATGTCGTCTCAGCAGAAGCGCTCCGCCTTGAAAATACCAGTGGAGATGAAGAGTGAGGAACAATGGCTAATGGCACAGCACTTGAGCTGAGGCGGTTGTCTTGGCTCTCAGCCTCCTCCTTGGAATGCGCCTTAGGGATGAAGGTACAGGAAACACCCAACACTATCCCATGTGTAGGCAGATACCTAACAAAGCAGCCTGGGAGAGAGTACCCTCACATTGGTCTGGGCAAAGTCGGGGGCGCCTTTGCTCTGAGGATCCACCTTCAGGACTCCCGTAGTGTTTCTTCTTGTAATCAGACTTGACATTTGCTGAACCTGACTCCCAGCTCTACACACCCTACTTTTTAGCTCCACTTGTTAAAAGTAATCCTTCTGTGTAACAGGTATTGTAAACAGTAGAAATGAGGCTCTGAGGAGAGGTTATATAACACTCAGTTTGTAAATGTCAGAGCCTTAAGACGAAGGCATCCCTCAAGTCCTTTCTGTACGTCTCCCCATCTTCCACCTGGCTGTCTGTCGGGGAGTTCTGTACTGTGCCATTATTGATGTTACTGTAAAATGTGAAGCCCTCTATACGAACCACAGCGGCGATACCCTCCTCTTCCACAAACCACTGCTCACTTTTCCTACTCATCAGCCTGCATCTCCAACCTGTCTGTTTGATCTTGTAAGTAATACGCTGTTGGATGCTACATTATGAAAACATGTTTGCTCAGATTCCTTCCTCAGGCCAACAAATGCTATAGTCAGAAGGGATTGCTGAGGTGACCACTTACCTTCAATAGATTAAGATGTATGAGGCCTAAAGAAATTAGATGGCCTGCCTAAGGTAAGGTCACTTAGTCCGCTGGGTTGACCAAGAAGCCTTGTGGATAACTGTATTTTCAGCCCGACCTTTGTTATCTGGTATCTTCCTTGAAGTGTTTCCAGAGACCCATTCCCACTGATGTCTAGACTGTGTGGCATGCTGGCTGTGCTACCATTCCTCTGCTCACTCAGAAACTGTACTCACCTTTCATGTCTTTTTTGGATATTGATTGTTCTGAGACAAAAACAAAATAAAAAAAAAAAAACCCTGTCTGGCCAGTTTTAAAACCATACTCCAAGAGCCCCAGATTGACTCTGAAGCCCCCAAAAGTCAAAAATGGGGGGATTGAATGGAACCAGAACATCGTAAGCAATGCTGCCGGGCAAACAGAGACTTTTCAGGGACTGTTAAGCTACCCATTCCTTTCAATGTGTTCTCTATACATATTCCAGACACTTCTTAGGGTATACCTTAGTCTCCAGTTCTTCCAGTCATTCATATGCCCTGAAAGAAGTCAACCTTAGGAATTTAGATGGAAAATATCCCTGGGAACACCCCCTCCCCCATTAAACTATTGTCAAATCAGGTTCATTTGAGGACTTTTCCCCCTGGGAAACAAGCACCTATCACAAGAGGCTGTTTCCCACACAGACAATGAGAAAGGGTTAACTGCTTCTCTCAGGTCCTGAGAGAAGTCTGTCCCCCACCAGTTCCCATAACCGGGTTTCCTGAAATGGAGCATGTCCCAGGTGCCTCTCCACTAATCACATCCTGGCAAATGGGGCCATGCGCTCAGATTAGCTCATCCCTTCACCTTCTTGAGGCCTTCTCCACCTGGAGCAGAGAATCTGGGGCAGCCTCACCACTGACTTCCCATCGGGGGTCAGATAGGAATCTCTCACAGAGGGCAGGTAGGTTAGGGAGCACCAGAGACCATCGTAGAACTGACTTCCACACCAGTTCATGGCCACGGCTGCTGTTCTAAGGCTTGCAGGCAAAGAGCAATACCAAGGTTTATGTAACAAAAGTATTTTCCTCTGTGCCCCCATTCCCTATGCTTTTCTTCCTCTCCTTCTTAAAAGGACTGGCTCTGGTACAAAGTGGCTTCCTGTGTCTCCTGGCTGAGTCACCTTCTCAGTCTGATTTCTCATCTGCCAGTTATCAAGTGCTGGGCCAGCCAGGAGATTTCTTTCCTTTCCTTTTCATATCCATTCTCCTTTGCTGGGGGAGAAATAAACCTACAAAAAAATCTACTCTACAAAATGATTCGTCCCTCCATAACTGACTTTTTATCCTCTCTGTAACCAGAGTTGGATTTGTCCCGACAACTGATACACACTAGATGGGAAGTTGGCTTTGTGGCCCAGAGTATGGAAGCAGCTGAGTAGCCTGGTTACGTGTGACCAAGTAAGCCTATTGATCTGAAGGTCAGACCATCAACTGGATTTTAAGACAAGTAGGCTCACTGGGACAAAGATTCATCTTGTAAGAGCCCCGTTAAACAGATGTTAGTGCCAAAAGTTCAGTCTCGGTCAGTCTTGGAGAACGGTATCCCAAAGCACTTACCAGGCGCTCAGGCCTCCCATCTCACAGCCAGAAGCTGAGACTCAGCTCTAAAGGCGACTAGATTTTACCCATTCTGGCTTCAAATGGCTGTCTTCTTCATCTCCAACTTCCATTTTCACGAATTGAAGAGACTGTGGGAACAAACGTCTAAGAACGTCTGGGTGTCTAATCCCTCACATTTTCTCACTCATTCTGGGCGTTAAGTCCTAGTTCTCCACAACTGAAATAGGGAAATCCTCCAAGGGATATAGTTAAAATAACATCTATGAAATAATTTGAGAGTTCGGATCTTTAAATTACAAGACATTTTAGAGGCCATTTAATCCAGCATTTCCCAGTCAGACAAGCAATGCTTGTTCCCATTCCTTCCCTTCACCCCCACCCTACCTCCGAAGAGTCAGGCTCTTTCCTCTGTCTTTTCCTGGTATCCAAGCAGTTTGCATAGTGTACTTAAGAATGGGAACGAGTGCCTTACTTCCCTTTCCACTATGTGCAATAGTTAAGCCATCGCTGCTCAAGTTGGTAGCTAGCGTTTACTTGAATGTCTCCTGTTGGGGTCTGCCATTACAAACCCTTCCACTTTGAAAAGCAGTGGTTTGGATGAACTTTTCCATCACAAGAGCTACCTTCTCCCCGCTGTTTCCCCAGTCCCATGTCTTCCACTCAGCAGTCACAAATCTGTCCTTTGAAACCACAGAGAATCCATATAATCCCCATATAAAAGGCCCCGGGGAATACTCGGGATGGTTATTGTTAACCTGTCATAGTGGCTCAGACCTGGCCTGAATGATTGTATTATAGATGGCCTGAGCTTGGCACACATGTTGTATCCCTAAAACATTGTATAAACCAGTTTCGTGTGAATCAAATCATTTCAGACATACATGGAAGTTGACTGCTTTTTAAAACCCTGTTATCGGTTCTCTCATCAACGGAAAGAGGGGTGGGGCACTGAACCCGGGGTTTCTCCATGCTCAGCAAGCACTCCATCACTGAGCTACATCACTTCCTACTTTTGAACAACGTGCTGTCTCAGTCGCCTGCAGTGCCCAGGTTCTAGGCAGGCCCCGCACTTGTCATCTTCAACTCAGCGCCCCAAGCGGCTGGAATCACAGGCTTGGAATTCACCAGGCCAGACTGGACAGTCTTTGTCTCACGCAGAAATCTCCCCTATCTGACTTTCATACAAATCTAAATTTTCATGCATTATGTTTTCCTTCTGGCAAAATTTGCCTACATAGAAAACATGCAAAATCATGATAATGGGCGCAGCAAACACTGCCGAGTGCTTATCTGGCAGCCGGTGCCTCATAGCTGACCTGTACTGATTAATTTCTCCCCATAGCTTCCTTCTGTGAAATCACCCTAATCGTTTCCAGAAGAGGAAATTCAGGTTCAGAAAGGCTGCATACCTTTCTAAGGTCACTCAATCAGACTGTGATAGACCAGTGTTCAAACAAGACCAGAGTCCAGAGTCTATTGTCTTTACCCTGAGGAGGCTTCCAATGCTAGTCACAGTCAGAACGACTAAGTATACCACATTAAGAGTAAATTGGCCAAGATACTGAAAACTGACCTAAATGTCTACAGCTTCAAAGATATACATAAAATTGTCTCTTCTTGGATATGAGCACCGTAGATTTCTCAGAACAACATATTCCAGCACATAGTCTTGCATTTTCCAGTACAGCTTAGCTGATGAGCCCTCAACAGCTTCCCTTCAGCTGCTAGTATTAAATAGATAATGTCAGATTTTATTTCTGGGGTACGGTTGAGAGAAAAGGTTGGACACCTTTTTCCAGGGTCTTTGTACTCCCAGGGGTTAATGGTATGAGCTTTTTAGAAGAAAGAAATGGCTCACTAGTGACTAGTAAAAAGTCACTGGGTATCATAGTTGCTCCCAGCCTGCTCCTAGATGGGTCAAGATCATTCAGATGAGCCCAGTTTTTTAATGGCATTTAGGTTTTGGAGTTAAAAATAGTTTGGCGGGGATGGAACATAATAAGTAAGCTCTGTTTCAAATCCAAATGGGGCAGAGATAAATGGAGGTGATGGCTCAGTGTCCTCCAGTTCCAGTTTCCTCCATTTAGTCAAGACCAGTGTGCAGTCAAAGCATCACTTAGAGCAGAACACAGCCCTTGGAGTTCCTAGGACCCCAAGCTTTCTGACACTGTATAAGGAAGCTTACAGTGGAACCCTTTTCCAGTCCTCTGTACCCTACAGCAACTGCCCGCACCCATGAAAAGGCCCCATCGGACTAACATGCTGCCTGCAGTCTCATGTACAGACTTGCTTTCAAACACGTGTCAATCCTTTGCACATCATGCCCGAAGCTGTCAGGCTGGTGTCCTGGTCTGTGCTAGCCACGGTTAATTAAGCCCGTCTTCTGAAGGTGCACGCTCCCTTGGGAGCTCACCTTTCTAACCTTTCCTTGGGCAGCCGTCTTACTTACAATCACAAATCAAAGACTGGCGTGGGAAAGGATGAAGTTTTCTTTTCTTCTCAGCCTCTGTTTCTGTGACTGGCAGAAGAAGAATGAACCTGACCAAGTCAAGACAACTCAATCAGTCTTCAGCTTTAAACTCTGTCTCTTAGGCTCCTCTTACCAGCCATTCCTGTGGTTTTCTACCTGAGGGGTCATATGTCACTCTAACATCAGGGAAGGAGCATCAAGGCCGAGTATCACTTTTCTGTCTTTCTTGCCTGATAAAAGTGTGGCTTCCCTCATATGTGCCGAGACCACTGACTCTGCAGCAGGGATCCCACCCAGGCGGCTTCTCTGGTCTTGGTCTAGCTGGAGCACAGTGATGGTTTCTAGTGCCGCTGCATGTCTCCCCAGGACTGCTGAACTTTCATCTGGAGCCTGGCTTGGCCCATTCACATGCTTTCTCTCTGGGTTTCTCGGCCCTTACTCCACACCAGCCCCACAAGCATCCCGGCTTTTAGGTTCTATCGTTCCCCCACATACCCATATAGACCTCTGAGGGGATGGGTACCAAGGAACTTTTCAGAATTTCCTCCAAATATCAAGGAACCCAGGAAATCTGGATTTGGGGGATAAAATGGAGGAGCAGGGCATGGTCCATAGGGAGGGTTACACCAGATTGTCTGCCTGCATGTGTCTATGTGGACCCTGCTACTAAGACTCTGAGGCAGCTTCCCGCTACTGACAGAAGGTGTATTGAGAACCTTTCTTCTCTGAGTCGCAGGAGTGCAGCAGAGTCCAGGCCGGTTCTGTCCACTACTGCTGGGCTGTGCCAAGGGAGTCAGAACACTCTTGTTCTCATGTCCTCAGCCTTTTCAATGCTGCTCCAATCCCAGAAATTTTATTTCCTATGTGAAAATCCACACGTCTTTTGCAATCCAACAGATGATGGCATAATCTCTGAACTTTAGGTTTACCGGATCTGTCTGTCTCTTGATATTTAGAGGAAGTTTCTGGAGGAAACCTTAAAATCCCTCTCAAGCACCTGGCTCTTCAGTTGAAGAGCCAAGCGTCTTAAGAATAGTATCCTGCTATAGAGTTGATTTGAGACAAACTTCTAGGCTCCAGCAATTCTCCTGTCTCAGCCTCCTGCGTAGCTGGAGCTATAGGAATGCACCTAATCTCTTGGTATAGCTTCTAAAAGGACTAGTTAAGAGTTTAAAAGCCAAAGATGAAGAGATAGCTCAGCCAGTAAAGTGCTTGCTTTGCAAGCAGAAGAACCTGAGTTCTGAGTTCAATCCCAGAACGTTTATTAAAAATAAGTAAGTAGAGTCGGGCGGTGGTGGTGCACGCCTTTAATCCCAATACTCAAGAGGCAGAGGCAGGCAGATCTCTGTGAGTTCAAGATCAACCTGTACTACAAGAGCTAGTTCCAGGACAGGCTCCAAAGCTACAGAGAAACCCTGTTTCGAAAAACCAAAAACCAAGACAAAACAAAAAAAAGTAAGCAGGCAGATAATAGATAGATAGATAGATAGATAGATAGATAGATAGATAGATAGATAGAAAGATAGATCTTATCATGCTGGTATGGTATCTTCTTATAATCCCAGCACTGGGGAAGGTAAAGACAGGCAGATAGATCCCTGGGGGCTCTCTGACAGGCTAGCCTAGCCTACTTGGTGAGTTCCAGGCCAGTGAGAGATTCTGTCTCAAAACAAACTGTTGGAACACAGTCCAGGAATGGAATCTGTGAGAACTCTGAGGGCTTGTAAGAAGACTCTAAGGAAATAAGACAAGAGTTTTGTGACCTCAGTTTTTCAAAGCATGGACTTGATGGCATACGATGGTGGCGCACGTCTTTAATCCCAGCACTCGGGAGGCAGAGGCAAGTGGATTTCTGAGTTTGAGGCCAGCTTGGTTTACAGAGAGAATTCCAGGACAGTCAAAGCTACACAGAGAAACCCTGTCTCA